AGAGAGAGAGAGAGAGGGAAGAAATACGCCGGTTTCGAAAAAATCGAAAGAGCGAGGCTTCTGTTACGTTCGTAATGAATAGAATTTTTTTTTAACATCGTCAACCGTAAATATTAGAGATCAATTAGATATAATTATTAGATTGGAAAGAAAGTTCTCGCGGTTTTTATACTTTATTATATTTCAAATAACACATATCTCGGACTTAAACTTTATCAATCAGAATAAAATTGCAATCGATGCGGTTTTGCCAACGAGAAATCTTTAGTTTTGTTATTTTATTTATTCCTGTTGAATAAAATTCTGGAGTCCTGGAATTGGAATAGGAAAATTGTTCGAATTCCTTGTCCATTACGTTTTCAACACTCTCAGAAAAACTAATTTGAAAATAAAATCAATATCACATTTTCACAGGGAACATGCACAATTAAAATTAATAAAATAATGTAGAAAAGTCAATGCAATTTAACATCAAGTTAAACGAAAATATAGAGCATTTAAAATAACAAAAACCGTAAGAACTCTCTTTTCAATTTATTAAAAATATCGAAATATACTCGTATTATACTCGTTGTTTAAATCAAAAATTTAATAAATTAATTATAATAACAATTATAATTTTATCTAATGTAATTTCTTCTTCAATTATTTCTATTATTTCAAAAATTTATTTAAATAATATTTTTAATAACTCAATACCTTTATTAATTTATTTAATTATTTATTCAATTTGTTTATCAATCATAATATATACTTCATGTTCAATAAATTCTTTATTAATCTTTATAATTATAATTGTATTTTTAAGTGGAATATTAATAATATTCTCATATTTTATTTCATTAGTAAATTACCCATTCAAATTAAAACTTAAAATATTTGTTCAATTATTTTTTTCAATATTAATTATTATAAAATTATCATCTAAATATATTTATATTATATAAATATAAAATTATTTTCAAATATAATTAAAAATTCTGATTTATTCCTTTTCAATATTCAAAAATAAATATAAATTTATTTATTACTGTAATTATTATAATAATTAATTTCATCATTAATTTTAATAACAAAAATTTCTTATATTGAAAATAAAACTCTACGAAAGAAAAAAAGATATTTCGAAAGGATATCGCAACATATTTATATAAGCTCCAAAAAACTTTCCAAAAAAAAAAAAAAAAAAAAAAAAAAAACAGAAGTTCGAAACGCGTAATAATTGATACCGTTTTAGCCTCTTCCATCCTCTCCTCTTTCTTCCTTTCCCCCTTCCCTCTCTTCGTTCAGAGAGTTTTTCGCAAAGCGAGCACAAGCGGAGTCGGTTGCATTAATTACTTTCGTGATCGACTAAATTGCACGGATCGATGCCGATTTCAATTGTGTTGTTTTATATCTCTGCTCCCCCGTGAAAACCCGTTCTTTCCCCTTCATCCTCCATGCAATTTTCTTTTTCATTTGCCTCCCAATTTCTTTTTGTAATCATTTTTTCCCCCCCCTCCTTCCGATTGAAAATATTAGTTATTCCCTAGCTCGAGCAAGGAATAACAATTCAATTGCTCTCCCCTCCCTCTCCCTTTCGTGAAATTATTGAAACGCATGGTATGTTACACGGCGTCGGTGATAAGAAAAATAATTGGTCGGGAAGCAAACAAATTGTACGGAAATGATTATATTACGTTGTGCATATACGGGGAGGGGAATATATAATTTGTGGGGAATCGCGTTAAATATATTGAAAATTAAGCAACGTTTTAATTATAATCGATCATACATATAGCTACAGAAATTGAAATGGAAAGATTTTCATATAGTGAAAATCCTGCTTCCTCTATATCCTCTATATATACCCGAACACGGATACGGCGAGTATTTAATACGTCATTACATAAATTAAATTGATTCACTTAATATACGGATAAGCTCTGTATTTAGAACCCTTTGATCAAATACACCGATATTTGCGCCCCTCCCTTATCGGTTTATTATTAATTGCTCGTCGTTTGAAAACTGTTCGCCGTGAATTCATTCATGTATATATATATGAACGTGAGTTATTATGTTTTTAGTTAGTTAGGGTTACTTTTTATGAGGGAGGGGAGGGACGATCTTTAAATATTTATTTCTTGATTCTCGGCGATGTTCAATTTTATACCGATTTTTTTCTTTTTTTTTTCTCTCTTTACGCGAACCTAATTAGTTTTATCGAATGACCGGTAAAGCAATTTCCAAGATTATACCGTAATCCTGTCGCAGTAATTTCGATTCCATTTAACTTTCGCGGGATTCAATTGGACAATCCATTTCGGTTTCTTTCCGAAATTAATACACCCCCTCCCCTTCCTCCTTCCCCTCTCCTGTTCATTCATTATTCATAACATTCCACGCCGTGAAAATCCGCATCGTGAATGAGTGGACCCGGATTATTACATTACGTATAATAATACGAATATCATTCGTTAATCGATATTGATCGTGGCGTTAAATTCTGAAACGAATTCTCCGCGCACGAATCGTTTCCTTCGATCGAAGATTCGTTTGCCATCGAGATATTTTTCACGCGTCGTCAATAATCGGAGGGAAAGGGAGGCGGAGAGGGGGAAAAATTGGATAATTAGATTATCTAATAATCGTTGATCGATTTGTTGGAATAAAAATTATGCGGCAAAAAAAGAAAAAATAAAAAAAATCTTTGCGAATATTTAATCAAAATATTTGACGATGAGAAATAATAATACGACAATTGACGAAATTGAGCAAAAGAATATAAGAATGGAAATATATTCTTTTTTGGAATGGAATGAAATAGAATTGAAACGTGAAAAGGGGAAATGTTTCGTTTCCGCGAGTACGAATAAAAATTAATAAAAAAAAAAAAAAGAGAGAGAAAAAAAATATCCATCCATCTATCTATCTATCTATTTTGTAAACTTTAAAAATTTTTGATATATCAAACAAACGCTCGAAGCGAAATCGGAGGGAAAAAAGGAAATGCAACCAACCAACTCGACGAGTAATTTGGAAATATATCGTAAGCAAAGGTTTTTTCGTGGGTAAGTTTGTTGCCCGGCTTCCTTTATATCCCGAGAAACTTGATTCTTGTCTTTAGGATTGGTTTGTATTCCGTTCTTTGCGTCGCATCTGAATTTAGAAAAGAAGGGAAGACGAGAGAGGGGAGGGAGGAAGGGGAGGGTACGCTTCCCGCTTTGTTTTCGCTTCCTCCTCCCATTTTTGTTTCCTCTTTGTCAAGTGTGGACGCGGGCACGCGCACACTTATATATAAATGCACACGTGTGCATATATACGTATATAAATGTACGTGTAATATCATAAAAACGAGAGAAGAAAGCTCTTTTGTTGTGCCGTAAAGGTAGGGAAACTTTATAAAAATAAAAATCTCGCGATGCGCATGCAAAACGTGTTCCGAATGTAAACGCCACTTTAACACTCGAAAACTTTTTTCCTCCGCTTGTTTTCTTTCCATTGCAATCGTGTTTACGATCGTGTACGTATTTCGAATAATTATCGAAATTTTTACATCTAAAATCGGCTGCTGCTTTCATATTTTTCCACGCGTCCTATCTGATCACGTGTATATATTAAGGTAAACGAGATCCGTCTTCCGAATGATTTAATAATGGGAGAATGTACACAAAAATTCGATCCCTCCCCCTCCTCCCTATCGATATCTGCAGGGCAGGCCAGATCTCTCGCAAATCCCCTTATAAATCCTGTATAATCTTTTTTTACACTAACGCTTGCTTCCGCTGTTTCGGATGTAAACTGTCGATTATTCATGGAATTGACCACGATAAATTGACCGAAGGGCTGCTCGCGACTCGATTGGATCTCTTTTTTTCTTTTTTTTTTTTTTAAACCGATTCATCCTCGTTCGACGAACGAAGGAGGAAAAGAGGGAGGGAAGAAAAGTATATCGGCGATCTTACGTATCTTTGAGTACATACACGCATATGAAAATATTAAATGCACTCGTGACGCGAAACGGTGTGTTTGCATTGCAAACTAAAACGGAACTCCGTCAGCCTTGCTAACTCGGTATCGCGTTCCTCGAGTCTGGCATTAGCGCCGCGATCGATCTTACGACGAATCGTTAGAAGATTTTCCCTCCCCGTGGAGGGAACCTGCAAAATAACGTTTAACCTAGATTTTGTAATTTCCAACTGTTGATAAAGATTTAATAAATTCAACGTGGCGCAATTCGTGTACGAATCGTTGTTAAAATATTCAAACTTGAAATCGGGGATATACAATAGTCGGTTACATTCAACCGTTCAATGTTTAATCGCTTGTGTGAATAAACGAGGGGAGTGACATCTATATTGCAAACGATGCTAATAATTTATCCAGTTAATAATTGTCCACTCTAATGCAACGTTACTCGCCTAATATCTAAATTGTTTCCTCCGAACCGAGCGAGGCGACTATAAAACGGGCAATTAATTTTTTTATCTCTTCAAATTGTACATTTATAAAAACTAGATACACACGTGTGTATCTTTCTCTTTAAACTATTTCTCGTCGAGTGTGTATGTTTTACGATGCAGAGAAGGGATATCGCGAGTTTTCGTGCGCGCTTTAAAGTAAGTCGTGTTTAAATTTTCTTCTGTACAATCAAGAAGATAGGAGAGGGGATTAATATTTCGGTTATTTTATTTTTAATTTGTCCCGCCGTTGCCGCGCGAAAATTAACGAGGGACGAGGGATAAAAAGTGCGGGATTGTGTGTAGGGAAACGCGTAAAAAAAATTCTTATAGGGAAGGGGAAGAAAGTTGCGGTGTTAAGTTAGTTGCGGTGAAGAAAAAGTTGAGCAAGTTTTAGTTTTACCTTTTAACGTTGACGCGTTACTCGTCGGCGGCTTTGTCGTGTAATTTCCCTCGTCATCCATGAACACGTAGCTAGCGTTGAATCCTGTCCCATCGTATCTATCGTTGCTCTTGAACGTCACGCGAAAGAACTTTCTGTCGCTGTTCACGTCGAACTCCTTTTGTTGGCCGCAATGCCTCGAGTACTTCCGGTCCCTCGACATGAAATTCGAAAATTCGACGAAATCGCTCGCGGACACTGGTTCGCACCTGTAACACGTTAATATTATTTGTCAAGTTAATCGGTCGATTTTCGATCTTTCGTTTCGCTGAAAATTTTTACTTTACATCCTCCTTAAAAATTTCCTGTTTACTGTTTCTATTTCGAAATCGCTGATGTGCAAAGTCCACTATATGTATATATATATATATATATATAAATTCTTAAAATATTCTATACATGTCGATATAATTTCGTGGAATGGGATAGTAATATAATATAATGGGAGGCTATTGCATTCGATATTGTATATCGAAGAAACGATGAGGCATATCGAATACGTACTTATGTGTATAAGTATGTATAAGTACGTGAAAACCACAAAAAAAGGAAAAAGACTGAGTCTATTTTTATTGATTTATTTTTTATTTATACACGCGATTTGAAAAATCACGTACAGAGAATATAGAAATGTTGTCTTGTTATCTTGAAAATTTCTAAAAAAAATTATTTATCGTAATTTTAAAAATTAATATTGGACTTGTAAAAATTAGAGACATTTCTATTCCATGCGTAGTTTGACTTGTCATTACGCACGATATTAATGTTTCTTTAATTACGAAAGTTAACCGTTTTATTTGCTCATAATTTTTGTAAAAAAGATCAAATACACGTATTCGAGCGTACCTCATCGTTTCAAGCACTACTGCATTCGTGTTGATACGCCACGTGAAAAAAAAAAAAATAATTCGCATATAACGTTAATAACGACAAGTACGATCCAAATATTTGAGAAGAGGTTTATTTTCTCATTCCTAAAGCCTGGTGGATAAAGCGCGTACGTATTTAGAAACCTCATAAAAGTTTATGACATCACCTATATTTCAACGAGGATGACAAGTCTACTACCGCGTATAACCTGGTGGCGCTTTTATATTATATGTATATAAAATACAATTGCCGATGTATTATTCAAGAGTATTCTTAAGTTAGTCGCTCGGCCGTTAAATTTATATTTTTGGCCGGGCCGTACGTTACGCAATCGTAGGAAAAAAAATTGATGTATACACGTGAACGTGAAAGGGCGCGAGACGTGGTTGAAATATTCACCTTTCGCGGGAAATATCGAAAGGAGAATCGAATGATTTTTCTCGGTGTACCGTAGTACACCTCTCATAAATTGGTTCCGTGCGGACCGGCAATTCCATATAAGTAATTCAATCTTGGCTCTTTCCGCGCATAATTTCAACCTACTATGTGAGAGCGCGTGTCTGCCGCTGCATTTTCATACAGCTATTTACAATCGGAATATACATATCGGATATTCTGTTTTCGGATTTTCCATTTCGTGCTCCATAAATATATTTCTCCCCGCTTTTACGGGGGACGATGAATCTCCTCCGATTACGTAACCTGTGATTAAAGTTGCGAAGGAGCAGCGGCAGTCGGAAATAACGCTTCACGTTCGGGGTCACTTGGATCGTGCCAAGTCGGAGTTTTTTGTGTTCGTTTCGACCGTTCCGCGAAAAAAACATAATCTTAATGGTCGCGTGGAAACGAGGCAGGCTGTGGAGAGCAGAGCGAGGTGACGTCACCACGTTGAGCCAATTGCGGGCAAATATGAGAAATATTACGCGCGGGGAGCGGAGAAAAATATGAGCGGGTGTCGGGTGTTCTGTAATTAAAGGCGAAAGGAAGCGGCGATCACGAAGGATAAATGGGATTGATAAGGACGATTTACGCGAACGTTTCGCCCGTGGAAGAATGCATTCACTCCCTTGTAAATAATATATCGCGCCCGTAAGAAATATTGATACGTGAATGATGAGGCTATTATCGCGGAACCGGAGATATACATCACGCGACTCGTTCCTTCCACCGATGACATAAGTGGCAATTCCCGTGATAGATCATCATTCGGTTCTCACGTTTCCGAACATATATTTCGCTCTGTTTACTCGTACACGGATTTACGACTGGGAATGTATCTTTCCTTCGTGGAGATGGAAGGGACTATAACCGACCGAACGATCGCGTTGCACTTTCTTTTTTTTTAATCGAAAACTCTTCGCTCGTACCGCAATTTATTTACCATCGGAACATTTGAAAAGATCGTGCGTGAAAATATTTGTTATTTTTTGTAGCCTCGAACGTTTTTGGAAATACTTTTTAAATCTCGGGGATCTCAGCGTTCTCAAGGAATCAAAACGTTCATTCTCGAACTCGGGAAGGACTTCAATTGGATCAAACTTAATTCGATGTGGGTCAAAGCGAGCGCCAAGCGTCGTCTTATCGACCGGCTCGATACTTTCAATTTTCGACCGTTTATCCAACGTTTATCGTAAATATTATCGTCGTATTATTAAATTTATTTTACTTCCTCCCGTATACGGAGCATGTTTTTCAAAGGAAATGGAAAAGAGAGTGGAAAGGAAGAGTGTAAAAGATACGCGAGTGTTTCTTCCAGAGGATCTCGACTATCGGTTGACCTCCAATTATAAAAATCGAGGGCATATCTCGCGGGGAGAGGAGGAATCGACGAAGAGACCTACTTTGCGCTTCCACTCCGTGTTATTGTTGGAAAGTTTAGAGGCAGAAATCGGCAAAACACGACTAATTAGCTGGCTTCGACTAATGAACGTAGCTCCATCGTGTTACAACACGGTTATTGATGGCGATTTAATAAGACCCAATTAGGTCTGCTGCGTAACCACCTACTTCTTTTTCCCTTTCCCTTCCTCTCGCGGCAAAGACCATAGAGAGCAGCACATCCGTCCTAATATCGCATGATCGATTGACCACGTCGCGTTTCACCGGATCCCACCCATCGCGATCATCCCTTGTTGATCAACCGTGTTCGCTAATTGGTCAGCGTTGACGCAAATACTCGACGTTCCGACCAGGCTTTTCGACTATCGGTTACGGAATTCTCTTCGGTTGTTGAGTCTTCGTCCCCAATAAGCAGCTTGAAACTTTGTTTCGCGTAGTTTGATTTAGTAGTACATCGTACTGTATCGAGAAACCCAATCGAACTAGCATCGATTTGCTTCCAATAGACTTCTAGTTAGTTAAGGATATTCACTTTGTCTCCCGTCGTACAGTCGAGTGTGACGAGAAGGGGAAGGAAAGGATCGATACACGTGGAATTCCAATCACGGTCAGAGAGTTTACCCCCTTCGTCCCATGTTCACCTTTTCTAATTCACTTACACGATTCGCTTGAGACGACTCGATATTACACGATGTATTATATATATATATTTTCTTCAACAAAGATAAAACGTCATAGGATGGAACGCATCCGTTACCTCTTTTTTCCTTTTTCTCTTTCAACTCTCCTTTGATACTTGCAATTTAATTTTGAATACAAAATGTATATTTTAAAGTTTGGAATTCTACTTCTACTATCGCGGAAATAGTATTATCTAAATGGTTACAAGCTCCTTTCCTCTCCAGAGACATTATTATGGATAATGGTAGAATCTTTTCTTCGTATATGTGCGTCTGTACGTGTGTCAAGAAGGTAAGGGAGGAGGGATCTTTTATACGACGAATACAGAATACCGCCACTTAACCCTCCCCCTAGAAAGATAACTCTCTACGCGATTTTTGAAATACCCTTCGCGTTTAATGCGAACTCGCGAACGATTCTTTTCCTAAACCTCCTAAACCTCGAACGGACCATTTACGATCGAATATAAAATTCGCAAGAAAGCGAGAAAGAGAAGAAGAAGAAGAAGAAGAAGAAGAAGAAGAAGAAGAGGGGAGGAAAAAAAATAAGGGAAATATTTGTACAAGTAACATTTTACACACTTACGGCATCACACCCTCCACGTCGAAGAAATGGAAATGAAGATGGATTCGTTCGTTCGGCTGTCCGTTGAAGAAATAATGACATTCGGTGTCGCGTGGATACAAGCCCGGGTAATTGGGCGACGTGAACGTGCCGTTTCGTGTCTCGTTGCTGTTGTATACAAAGGCACAGGGATATTGCGCCTCTTGTCGGCCTGTCGTAATACCAAAGTCTGAAACACACAAGTTGAAACAATGCCCCGTTAATGCGTGTTCCTTAAATCCGTTCACAGCCTGGTGGATAAAGCCTGCTCGGTTAAGGTTAAGGCGGGGAGATGGCGGAGGCTGGTGGAGGAAGGCGTCTCAACCCAGGGTAAATATGACGTTCCTCGAGACCGTTAATTAAATCGCCACCATTTCACCTGTTTAATTGCGGAAAGAAGGAAGTCGCCAACTTTGAATCGAACCAACCTTTGCTCCACCTTCCTCCCTCCCTCCCTTCTCTTCACGAGTAATGAGAAGTGGCTCGAACAAACGCTTTCGACAAGTGAAAAAGCGATCGTTCGATCGACGACGACGACGATGATGATCATTTGAAAATGAATTCAGGAGATAATTTTAACTCGATTAACTTTAATTGACATCTTAATTATGGAAAAACACGCGTATCCGATTATTCGATAGATGGAAAAATAACTAATTCCTGAATTAAAAATTTTCTTTTTTATCATACAGGGGACAATAATAAAATGGGATGGATTTTCGATATTTTTTAATCGATTTTTAATGCTTTGTTTCGAGAAAATTCTGCTAATTCTCGAAACAGAAACGACAACGAGGAGATATAGATCATAAAAGCGGGAGAAAATTTCATTATAACGCGACGAGAACGAAAAAAAAAAAAAAAGAAAGAAAAACAGTTTTTCATTCGTGAAAACGACTCGTAATTCGATTCGATTCTCCAGTCGAATTGCTGGTGCTGCCAATACCGTTTCACACTCTTATTAGACTTTATTTACAGATTATTTGATCACTTGGTAATGTTTGCGATTGTCAGTGCTATCCATCTGGCAAGCTTAATAAATATTGACGTTCTCTAATGAACAGCCACGCGTCGAAATATAAAGCATCACTGTCATAATCGTTATATTGTAACGCGATGGGCATTAATAAACAACAAGGGCGTAATTGCTTACGTATTATTAACTAGATGTTCGAACGAGAGGGCAACTGCTTCAATTTGTCAATGAATATGGATGACGGTGTGCGTGTCACGCAATCCTGACTAATACGTCAATACTTTATGTATAAACCATAATGGATAATTTAGTGTATCATTTCCGGCATTTTAATTGTTGATCATCGTCGTGTTATCACTTTGACATCAATCTGATGTGGTATTAAAAACTTTGATACTATTCATACATCGAATTCTCGATACGAGAAGTTTACGATATAATTTCGTTTCAAAGGGATAACGATGTTATCGGGCAAAGATTAGCTTTGAAGATTATTATATTTTTCTTTCTGAACGTTTAAGAAACGGGTAAATTGTGTTCGCTCAGAAAAGAAAAAGAAAAAAAGAAAAAAGAAATTCTTTTCGACGGATACAACGTTACTCGATTATTCGTTTATTTGTAAGGCAAATACGCGATAGTGATATAATGACGTTAATGAAAATTTTTGTGAATTACCCGCCGTAATGTTACATCATTTCATTACAATACTCGTTCATTTTCATTAGAGCGTTGGTGGGCAATTAACGTCTGGTGTTGTTGCTACAAGATGAAAAGTTTGCGTATGCTTCTGTCCACCAGAGATTTATGACGGTTTTACAAAAAAAAAAAAAAGAAAAAAAAAAAAGAAAAACGGTAGAGAATAAAATATTCTAAACCGAGAGAAACTGGTTAATATCAATTATTATTCTCTTTCCTCTACAAAATTTCTTTTATCTCCAGTTCGACTCACTCTTGATATATCTCTACCTGATTTACTTACTTCTCCTTTTCCGAGGAAATTCTTTGGGTAAAAAAAAAAAAAGAAATTCATAAATCTCGCAAGATTCATAAAACTTGAAGTTTATTCAACGCTCGTTCGATATTTCTTTTTACGAGAATACTAAAATTTTCTAGATGAAATGGAAATACTCGTCGTGGAACCATCCTTCTCCCTGTCGAAAGACGAACGAGTTTATCGCCATTACACCGTTCGATTATTTGATCTTGCTTATACACTCCTTTACGCGCGATTTATAATTTGAAGAAAGCAATCGTTTATTACGAGGATTTCACGCCCAACGAAAATCATTCCGTCCGTCGAAACGATAAAAGTTTGGCGACTGGGTGTAGTTTAGCGACGCCACCGTTACTGAATCACAACTTTTGAATCTCTCCTCTCTCTCTCTCTCTCCGACCGAAAATTAAAGCTCCACGGGCGAAATGGGTTAATTATAAGATTGGGGGGAGGAGGAGGAGGAGGAGGAGGTCGTCAGGCCTCGTTTCAAATCGTTCGGGGTGTACGGCCAGCAAAGTTGCGCGGGCCAAACTTCTGTTCTGTCGAGTTCCCCGAAGTGCACTCTCTCTCTCTCTCCCCCCAACGCCGTTACGTACGCCGGCCAAGTTTCCTCGCGATTGTAAACATCAAGTAATAAGCTTTCGCCGACTTTTGCGCTTAGTTAGCCGCTTATTTATTATATATATATATTTTATTATTATATATTTATTATTATATATATATTTTATTATTATATATATATATATGTATATATGTATATACATAAGAATGACGGTCAGAGCCGCTGTGGTTGTGTTGAACGCACGTGGCGAGAGAATGGTTTTTTTCCACGATCAAACGAATGTAGTGCGAGGAAGAGAGAAAATATTTTGTAGCGAAGAAGTATTAACCTTGCTATGTCTCAATCCTACATGTATATATATATATATATATATATATATATATATATATATATATATATATATGTAGCAACAACATCAGATGTTAATTGGCCATCAACATTCTAATAAAAATGAACGACTATTGTAATGAAATGATGTAACATTCATGGATAATTCACAAAAATTTTCATTAAACGTGGTTACCGGTACGAATCACTATATGTAAGTAAACAAATAATCAAGTAATGAGTCGTATGAGAATAATTAATAGGATGTGCCTCGTCTATTGGTTTAAGAATCATCGAATCAAAGGGAGGAGGAAGGATGCGTGACAAAAAGCTTAAAAAGGGTTTAAAAGCTTCCGACTAAAAGCCTCTGACTGTTCGACCTCTTTCCTACGGAAAAAAAAAAAAAAGTGGAGGATCAACTTTTCTCGTTACACAAAGGTTGATCGTTAACGACACCGATAATAAATGAGAAGGAATATCGAAAGCGACGTTCAAGATTTTGCGTTAAAGTTTTTTTTTTATCTATAATTGTAAATCGAAGCATTTCCAAGCCTTCTTTTCTTTTCTTTTCTTTTCTTTTCTTTTCTTTTCTTTTCTTTTCTTTTTCAATGCGTATCCCCGCGCATCTCGGACAACAGAGAAGGCGGAGAAAGTTTTTTTCTCTTTCTTTTTTAGAGGAGATGGGAAGAGAAACTGGAGTTTGAAAGCGCTATTTTTTCTTTTCTTTTTTTTTTTTTTTTCTTCTTTTTGCTAAATCTAACACTTTTTGCCCCGGCGTTAATTTTACAGAGATGGTGTGTGTGTGTCGTTTACTCGACTGGCTGTTGTTTGCACTGCACGAGAAGGGGAAGAAAGTGACTGCATGATAAAGTGCGCTTTCGACGAAGCAGCTTTGCCCCTAGAGTAAACTGCTACTTGGAATTTTTATTCGTCTCGAGATATTCCCTTGTTAATTTGATTCTTCGTCCTGCTGTGGATGTTTTTTTTTTTTTGAAAAAAAAAAGGAAAACAGAGAGAAGCATTCCCCATTTTCGCAGAGGGAACGCTGCCGCGATGATTTTCATAAATCTCATGGAATGTAAAATGGAACACGGGGACAAAGTTACTTACTCGGTCTCGGGTGAATCCTCGGGTGTCACGTGTCACAAGTGGATAAGCAACGCGACTTGTTTCCAGGGGAAATTTTATATTTACCCCTCCCCTCCCTGCATGCGCATCAATCTTACGACCAGAAGCTCGTCAAAAAAAAAATTTGATACTCTACAGTCGAGACTGTTTTTCTTTGTGGGAGGAAGAATTTCCATTTCCTCGAGATCCCTAATTTCTTCAAGATCTAAGATTTCACCCCCTCTCGGGAGGGATATTAAGAAAACGGTATTTATACGGAAGCGGTGTGTGTGTGTGTGTAACGTGTGTTATATTATGCAACGGTGATGGTTGTTGCGCACGGAAAGCACAAGTTTCGTTTAATTACTGAAATTAGTGACCAGACTATTACTTAGATACGGTTAGCGATTAAATTAATGACCATTTGGAAATTCGGTTTGCAGTTAGGTTTAGCGGTTAAGGAACTCGTATAATTATGGTCTATCGGTTAAATAATCGTAACAATTGTTACGGTATTAAATAAAACGGTAACGGGTAGAGAAAACTTATATGCCGTTTTTACGGGAGAAATATATTTTTATTATCATCATTTTTTTTTTTTTTTTTAACGTGAAAATTTTCACAGGACGTACGATTTTATAGCGTTATTTTTCTCTCTCTTCTTTTTTTTTTTCTTTTCACGTAATTTTTACGAGTTTAGCTCTTCTATAAACGGGATATTTTATTCCGTTGATATTTATTTTATAGCTTATCGGCCTTTATAGTTATATCGGAAAATCTTTAAATTTTGCTAAATATCCGTAGAGAGGCGGGAGAAGAGTGTAGTTTCAGCTATAAAAATTTAACTTGACGTTATTCTCTTGGAAAGTACGCGTTACGAGTTGGATAAACTTTATCAAAATATTTCGGAATAGATTTTACTTGACGATTAATTATTCGTATTTTTTCAGAAGGAGCGGAACGGGATGTTCTTCCATATAAAACTTTCGTATCGTAATCGATAAAAAGAAAAAAAAAATCTAAATACACCCTAGAAAATTCACCCTTAACAATTCACCCGATTCTCGCCAATTGTACATTTTGAATAATTTATTTTCAGTGATCAAACTGCTCGGATTGTTAGAATGGACGCGAACCAACCACTTCGACTACAAACGGTCTAAAAGGTTGTATATACGGCAAGACGTGTTACAACTAAGTTGCTCTTCGCGTGTGTTTATTTAT